AGACTTCAAAGAGGAATGTTTCCATGTTTCCTCCAAGGATTTGTGAGCTTTTTCGACTCCAGCAGGCTGAGATCCTCGCAAATTCTACGACGAGTGGTGTGAGGCTCAATGATGTCATCAACGTAGCCTATGGCAAGAAGGATAAGACTAAAATGCTTCTGCAAAGCTCGGAAAGCGAACTTACCACGAACAGCGGCAGGGAACGGGTTGCTGAAAACATCGATGTATTCTTCCTCGCGCTTAGCTACGTCTTTCTCTCCACGGAACAGAATAGACACAGCACCCTCAAACATTATAAGCTTGCACATGAGGATAAGCAAGCAGCCTATTCAGATCACCTTAGCTCCCATGACGGCAACTTCAGCAGTAGGCCAGGCATAATTGACATCTCCTCGAAGGTGCTTCGATGACATGACACAGTACGCTCCACCATAGGCCTGAGGATGAGAGTTTCGTTGTGAATTTTATTTTTAAAATTTACCTTTCTAGTTATCACAGTGATCTTGGGCACAGTAGCTTCCGCATACGCGTAGATGAGCTTGGCTCCATGCCGGATGATACCTCCATATTCCTGAGCCGTTCCTGTAAAAGCGAAACGATAAGCATTATGCGAGCGCATGAGTGCAGGAAAATATGTACCAGGCAAGAATCCAGGAACATCGACAAGAGTGACGAGTGGGATGTTGAATGCATCACAGAAACGCACGAAGCGGGCACCCTTCACGGATGAGTTGATATCGAGACAGCCTGCAATCAAGGAATGAACAAATTTTTTTTGCTCTACTTCGCGAACTCACCGGCCGCAAACTTGGGATTATTGCCGACAATGCCGACGGTACGTCCATTCATCCGGGCAAATCCAACGATAATGTTCTGAGACCAACGTATGTGATGGCGCATGATACGAAGCTCTCAAACCTTAGCATAGTCCGGCATGATCTCAAAGAAATCGCCTTCGTCTACAAGAGCAGTTACTACGTCTTTCATGTTATAAGCAGCGGTACTTTCTAGAGGAACCACAGTATCCAGTGATGGCACATCGCGATCCCTGGAATCAAAGCAAAGTGCGACCAAATAGTACACAGCCGAGTCAGAAAGCTACCATGGGTCATCACAAGCGCGGACTGGAGCAGGATCTTTGTTTGAGAGAGGTAGATAATTGACTAGCTCACGCATACTCATCAAAGCGTCCACATCATTTTCGAAGGCACCAACGGCCACGCCTATACAGACGTGCTTATGCACACAAACCTTTGACGATGCTCACCTGATGTTGCGGTATGGGTTTTCGCTCCACCGAGTTCTTCTTGAGTCACTTCTTCTTTAGTGACAGCTTTCACAACGTCAGGTCCAGTGATGAATAGGTAACTAGTGTCACGCACCTCAAAATAGAAGATAAGAAAAGTATAAAGACATCGAAACTTACCATGAAGGTAAAATCAGTGATAGCAGGGGAATACACCGCACCACCTGCGCAAGGTCCCATAATAAGTGACAGCTGAGGAATCACCCCGGATGCAATGGTGTTGTTCTGTAATATAAAGTGCGATTCACTTCCATACGCAAACATGCTTCAAGGCCAACCAAGAAAATGTCAGCGTAACCAGCAAGAGAATCTACTCCTTCCTGGATTCGAGCACCGCCGGAGTCATTCAAACCAATGAGTGGCGCTCCCACTATCATAGCCTCCTAGAAACTTTCTTTCAGATGTGTCTAATCACAAAATCTTAATTACCCTCATGATCTTGCAGATCTTTTTGGCATGGATCATTGACAGTGAACCACCGAAAACTGTGAAATCCTGAGAGAATACGTACACGTTACGACCATTGATATGACCGCGTCCAGTAATGACAGAATCTCCAGGGTACTGCAAAAGGTTTATTACGCTTTTTGCTGCTTATCGACGAGCATGCTCGCTTTAGATCTTGCTGTCCACGACCTCTGAGACGCTGTACACTCACACTTGTCAGCTCATAGGTTCGCGACCTTACATTCGAATTTGCAGCGATTGATGAGAGTCATCTGTTGTTGATCTCTATTTTGTCAAGCGCAGTCATCACAGAATGATCGTCCACAATCAGATCAATGTTTGTTTAGAACAACCAAGCAGAAAAAGTTCCACGACTGCGCATTTCGCAAGAGCGATTTTTCGAGCTGTATGTTGCCTCAAATTTGCTCTCCGAGAGTACAAAGAACAATTTTTCCCGTTCAGCGAGACTCAGCATCCTGCTCACTTTAGATGGCGTGGCTTGACGTGCTGCTGACCCAGCTTGTCATCAAAAGCGTACTTACTTTCTGCTTCTGCATGTCGAAATCGGTACAAGTGTGTTCGGCAAACATATCGTATTCGCGGAACGAGCCCTTATCCATGAGTAATTCGATACGCTCACGAGCCGTCAACTTTCCCTAAAAAGTACTAGGAATGTTCGCGCGGCCCCAGTATCTATACTGATCGTACTCGTTTATGCTGACTCTCAATTCTTTTCTCGCCACCACCAAGAAGTGCTTTCGCACGAGTCTTCTCGATATTATCGGCCACCTTGATAGTGTGCGCGATGGTGCTCTGCATACGAGCAATCTGGAAAGCAGCTATGTAAGATCAACTTGGAAAAGGATACAAGCTCACCTTGATGATGCCGCTGGCATTGCCAAGGAGCGGGTAAGCGAACCTTGAGATACTCATGATCGGATTACCTGTAACCAAATGATCGTTTATCGCTGTGTGACATAGAAGCAACGATGGGATCAGGAACGGGCACAAAAATATTGACACGACCACGAATGGGAGACGATCGATGCATCATGCCGTACACAGCAACCGAAACAAAATGTGTGGTGGGCGCCTCCGCATGCGACGTCGCATGTGTCAAAAGCTATCACACCATCAGCTCATAACAACCGTCGAGGCACAGATGTCGACAACTTAACGTCGACACTCTTACTTTACAGTATTTGAAGTGCACTTCACGAACGGCGATGTTCTTTGTGAAGAAAAACACATCTCAGAGAGCTGTTACGTGAAAACGACTACTGCAGTGGAGAGACTGCAGTGATGGTGCGACGAAGAAGAAATAGCAAAGGTTACCACGAAAAAAAAAACACTAATCGAGACCCGAATTGGTCGAACATAGGCGAAACGTAATCGAAGATTCTTAATGAAAACTCCCTAACTTTGATAACCGACGCAGGTAAGGTGGTTCTCCTACTTAGATACAAAACGCTACGTAGCTGTATGGCAGCGCTACAGCCGCAGGCCAATGAACGGAAATTTAGTGCACAAACTTTTATACGCATCGGTTCCAAGCGCAAGTATGAGTGCCCCATTCGGCTTTGATCCGAACCGAGGAATTTCCAACCCTCGCCAAGTCGTCGTTCTTGCTTCACATTGCTGAGAACAACAATCAAAGCGTCTGAGCTATTGCGACGCTCGAATCGGAAGGGAGGGACACCCACAGGACTGTCCACAAAGTACACAGAATGACGAGTATACTATGCCCCATTCCGAATATTGAGGTTTTACACAGAAAACGAATCAAGCCAGTCACTTCCAAAAA